ACACTCTTGCCTTTTTCTCTCTTTCTCTCTCTAATTTGTTTTTGAAAACCTGATTTTATAACTTTTCTGAGCAGCATAGTAACTGCCACAGTCGCTGCTGCATTCAGCTGCAGCTCTACTGACTGTAGCTCCATACAGTCACTGTTAAGCTCCAAGCAGGAACAAACCATTTAACGCAGATAGGGGGGTTCAGGGCAAAAACGGATGTGTGGTTTTTGGTCTGGGAGGGGTAACATTAAATTTTTACTGCTAAAAACAATCTTTAAAAATACAATATGATTAATTTTGTATTTGACAGGACCCCATTTTTTTATTTTATGTCTATGAACAAAATATAAATAATTAAATTGTGGAGGGCCCCCTGTTGGACAGGGCCCCTAGAATCGTCATCACTTTTCTTCCCCATACCGCGCCCCTGTGCAGATATGCACGGGCCAGTCTGTCAGTCAAACTTTTCAGAGAAGAGCAGAAGAGGACAGAGGCTGATTTTTAAACCTTTGTTGAAGAAGATAAGATCAGTGGATAAGATTGACTTCATTTAAGTATCGGCTGATCGCCAATTCCTCAAAGTTAAGGAAATCGGCGCCAATAAATTGGCCAATAAATGTATCCTTTATATATATATATATATTTATCCTCTCTCTCTCTCTCTCTCTCTCTCTCTCTCTCTCTCTCTCTCTATATATATATATATATATATATATATATATATATATATATATAAATACAAAATTCCCTTCTCCCCCTCCACAGGTGGTCTCTCTCTCTCTCTCTCTCTCTCTCTCTCTCTCTCTCTCGTCCGTTGTGGTGGATGTTGTTTATCCACCACCACAATGTCCGGTTGGTTCTCCATTACCATCTTGTCTGTCTGGATCTGGAAGTCCCACAGGATCTTAGCTCGGTCATTCTCCACCACCTTTGGGGGTGTTCCCCACTTTGACCTCGGGGCTTCCAGTCCATATTCGGCCCACATGTTCCTGTATACTATGCCCGCCACTTGGTTATGTCGTTCCATGTACGCTTTCCCTGCCAGCATCTTGCACCCTGCTGTTATGTGCTGGACTGTCTCCTTGCACAACCTACACCTTGGGTCTTGTCTGGTGTGGTAGATCTGAGCTTCTATTGCTCTGGTGTTTAGGTGTTTTGCTCTGTGCAGCCAGGATGAGGGCCTCTGTGCTGTCCTTGAGTCCAGCTTTCTCCAGCCATTGGTAGGATTTCCAGCCACTTCAGTTATTTGTCGGTGGTACATCCCATGTAGGGGCTTGTCTTCCCATGATGGTTCCTCCAGCACCTCGTCTTCTGTTCCCCATTGCCTGAGACATTCGCTGAGCACATCGTCTGTTGAGGCTTTGTCCTTGATGTACTTATGGATCTTGGATGTTTCATCCTGGACAGTGGCTCTCACACTCACTAGTCCTCTGCCTCCTTCCTCGTGTACAGTCTCAGGGTGCTGGATTTGGGGTGGAACCCTCCATGCTGGAACCCTCCATGCATGGTTAGTAGCTTCCGAGTCTTAACATCCGTGGCCTTCATCTCTTCCATTGGCCAGCTAATTATTCCGGCAGGGTATCTGATTACTGGTAAGGCATAGCTGTTTATTGCACGGATCTTGTTCTTGCCATTGAGCTGGCTTCTCAGGACTTGCCTTATTCGTTGGAGGTATTTGGCTGTGGCTCCTTTCCTTGTGACCTCATCGAGGTTGCCATTTGCTTGTGGTATTCCCAGGTACTTGTAGCTGTGCTCTATGTCTGCTATTGTTCCTTCTGGGAGTGATACCCCTTCTGTGTGGACGACCTTCCATCTCTTTGTAACCATCCGACCACACTTCTCTAGTCTGAATGACATAATGTCAGTGCTGTAGATCCTGGTGGTGTGGATCAGTGAGTCGAC